TGTAAAACTGGTAAAACTGGCATTGACCGCATCTTTGACTATAGACTTTTCTAATTTCACCTTGTCTCTTCTTTGTCTCCTCTGCTTCCATCTCTGTGGGGAGACTAAGACCCAAGAAGAGCAATAAAGGATTAAGCAAACTAAGAAATGAGAAAGTTAACCTCCAGCAGCCCCCAGTCCCTCAATAGAAAGGCCTACTTTGGTTCTGGGTTGGCTTTATCCCGATTGGGTTTGGGTTTGGACCAACGATGACATGCACCACAGGGATGAAAATTCAAATGCTTGACGGCTTCCTGTGTTTCTTGGTGCATTTTCAGTATTATTGTTACAAACAACCCTGCATGACAGCAGAGAGGCAGTGCAGAGCAAAGAAGCTCTCCCCCCGTTTTTTTTAAAGATATACACAAAAAACAAAAACACTCACTGGAAGATTTTTTGCAGCTGCTGCACTTCTGTGTATCCCCGAAACAGCGGCCTGTGGGAACAAAGCTCAGCTCAAATCACACGCCAACTTCATCTCTATTTTCACAACTGTACAGAAGGTTTTATCTCTAAATTTAGAATAACATTCCAGCGTCAAATATGTCTTCCAGCGATACAAAGTCTGAGCGGCTCTTACCTCAAGAGGAAGAGCTCAGCAAAGATGCATCCAGCACTCCACACGTCCACCGAGGACATGTAAACAGAGTTCAACAGCACCTCAGGAGCTCGATACCAGAGTGTCACCACCTGAGCAGAAACGGGAGAGAATATAAGACATAAAGTTACAGGCGGGGGTGGAAGAAGCAAAGAAAAGGAATGCGTTTTTTTTTCACCTCAGGCCCAAGAACAGTGCCGAGTATAAGAAAACTGTGTGAAGATAGGATTATTGTAGTGAAACGTAATGCTTAACACCAAATTTCTGTTGTCTCACTTACACCTGGGGTAAGAGCAATATTAAAGGTGAGGATCCGTGCCAGTCCAAAGTCTGCGATCTTGACTTCTCCACGGCTGCTGATGAGGACGTTTTCTGGTTTTAGGTCTCGGTGCAGCACCATGTTCATGTGTAAGAAGTCCAGGCCCTGCAGCAACTGCTGCATCACATCCTGGGAGCAGCATGGCAGTAATTACGATTCTATCTCAAGCTGTGAGCTTTGACTGCAAAGCAATATCAGATCGTGACTCACACCTTTATGCAGTCACGGCTCAGTCCAGAAGCAGGAGCTTTTGAGAGGTAGGTGGACAGGTCCTGGTCAATGTATTCAAGGACCAGTGTGAGGTCCAGGCTCACGCCCACTGGTACAGCAGATGCATCCAACAGCCTGCAGAGTAGTATACAGCAGTAGAGTTGAAACAAGTCAATGCACACAATTAGTGCACAAGTAAAATGAAACCAAATTAGGATAAATGTCCAAAAATCAATTTAGAATTGTGGAAAGCTTGAAATTAACAGGACAAAGGGATGTTTAAAGTGAGGCTAGACAGGAGTTGTGGCAGGATGTTAACAATAATAGAGGATTGAAAGACTGTACACAGATACCCATGAAATGATTTTCCAATGCTACCCTGTAAGCGTTCCCATAAATTTAAAAGGAACAAATCAAGCATAGTGCATGTAACACGAAGAGCTTTCAGAGGCTACAGAATGAAGCTACAGAGTAAATAACATCAGGTCTAACAAACTGGAAAAATAGCATCTCATACTTAGATTTTACATGTAAAAGTGTATCATCAGTGTGTTTAATCTAAAAAATTCAAATGTAGCAACTCAAGATCATCATTAGAGCATCTGGAGGACATCAGTGTGGTTTGCTTCTTTGTGTCACACCTGGTTACCTGTTCAGGTGCCTCTCTCCCTATGTCAGTACAGATTAGGGTGCAGCCATTTTTTTATTGCTGTAATTTCTAAGTGACCAATTAGTTGCAAATCCAGTTTAATGTCAAACGTAAGGTAAGTTCTATATTACAATGCTTTTATTACAATGCACATCTAATAAGATCATCTTTTTAAAAAGCAAGAAAACACATTCTTAATGAAAAAATATCATGTAAATATTTTTTCATTAAGAATGAGAAAGAGATTCATGACATAGTTAGAGGACTTAAGAACAAAACCAGTACACATTGGAATGATAGTGATACGGTAACAGTAAAGACAGTTATTGATGGTACTGTAAAACCATTAAAATATATATTCAACTTGTCGTTTCAAAAAGGGTTTTTTCCACGAAAAAATGAAAGTTGCTAAATTTATTCCCATTTACAAAACCGGTGAAAGGCATCATTTTACAAACTATAGACCAGTGTCAATACTCTCCCAGTTCTCTAAGATACTGGAAAAACTTTTCATAAAAAGATTTGACAGTTTTGTGGAAAAATATGAATTACTGACAGATAGTCAGTATGGGTTCAGAAGCAACAGATCAACAGCTTTGGCACTAATAGATTTAATGGAAAAGATAACGGAATGTATGGATAATAAGGGGTATGCGCTCGGAGTTTTCTTAGATCTAAAGAAGGCGTTTGATACTGTTAATCATGAAATTCTAATAAAAAAATGGAAAGGTTTAGGGGAGTGGTTTTGGACTGGTTAAAAAGCTATGTAGGGAATAGGCAACAATATGTACAAATAAATGAATATAAATCGAATTTGATGGATATAGCTTGTGGAGTACCTCAAGGTTCAGTACTGGGTCCAAAAATGTTTATTATGTACATAAATGATATCTGCATAGTATTGCAGATTTTAAAGTTTGTAATATTTGCAGATGACACAAATATACTGTGTTCAGGTGTGGAATTGCCACAGGTTTTGGAGATGGTCACACAGGCAATAACGATATTAAAGAAGTGGTTTGATATAAATAAATTATCATTGAATCTAGATAAAACCAGATTTATGTTATTTGGAAAACAAAAGAGAAACATCAAAGTAGAAATATGTGTTGACAATGCATTTCCGTCCTGGGGAAAGCAAAGCATATGTTGGATCAGAAAGCACTGCACATTTTATACTGTGCTTACTACTGCCATGTATGAGCTACTGTGTAGAGGTCTGGGGAAACACATACAAAAGTAACACACAAACAATAACTATAATACAGAAAAGGGCCATTAGATTAATAAATAATGTAGGGTACAGGGACCATACAAATGCACTCTTTGTCAAAATGCAAGCTATTAAATTCCAAGACTTGGTGAAGCTTAAAACAGCGCAAATAATGTATAAAGTAAGAAATAAATTGCTTCCAAAAGAAATCTGTAAATTGTAAAATTGTTTCTGTAAATAAAAGAAAGTAAAAAATTAACCTATAAAAACCTAATTTTAAATAAGTATAAGAATGAAAAAAACAGGGTTAACCCAGGACGGTAATGTTGCTGGAAATGGTGTTTTAGTTCTTTTTTGGGTTGGTTTTTTTGTTTGTTTGTTTTTCCATAACTTGTGAATCTGCAAATTTACACATTCTGTATTTTTCATATGAAAGAAACTATACCGTGGTGGGGCTTGCTTATTTCTTGCCTTTGATTTATGTATGTTTGTTTTGTTTTATTTTGTTTCTTATGTTGTTTGTTTAATTTAAGACTAAAAGAAAATTAAACGAATGAGAGGTAAAACTTGAGGGGGCATGGACAAATAAGTAAATACTTCTGCCTACTCCTTTTCAAACAAATAATGGAATGATATTTTGTAATGACTGTGAAAGCATATGTTTGAAATGTTTGAAATAAAATGAACTGAACTGAATATGAAAACGCATTAGCTAAAAACAATAATTATATTTTAGCATTAAAAATAGCATTTGGATTAAAGAGCTCGTGCATAATGGTGAATTAAGCACTGCAGAAACATCAAATCGATTTTGGTAATTACCAGTCTTGTTAATTTAAAAAACTATACATTGAGTGATAGTGCTTAACATTAAAACATTTTTGAAGCACTAAATACCTTTTTTTTTTCTTTTTATAAATAGATTTTTTTTTAAAACAGGCCTTTCTTTGAACTCATGTTTCTTGTTAAAGATAGATTATGTCACACTGTGTTGTATTAGGACTGTAAATGACATATAAACCTACTTGACTATGTTGGGATGGTTAAAGTGCTGCATCTTGCGCAGCAGCGCCACCTCTCGGATCATGAAGGCAGGGATTCCGGATTCCGACGTGTCTCCGTGGATGGTGAACTTCTTAACCGCGAGGAGGCGCTGTTTCTCTCCCACCTCTCTGGCTTTGTACACTTTACCATAGTAGCCTTGTCCTACTTCTGCCAAGAGCTCATAGCACAAAGGTTGAGTGCCAATGCTCATTGTTCTTGAAATTCAGGGTAAATTAACCTGAACTTTGCTCGAAAGACACACTTTTAGGGTGACAACGGCTCACACGCCCTTCTAGCTGCAGTCACAGTAAGCTAGCTAATGAGGCTCTGTGAGTAAACTGAGGGTTTGCAAACGGTAATAACCAGCTGTCACAGCACCGCTTCAAACCACCTGTAACACCGTTGTTTTTATGTATTAATAAACTCTGAATTATGATTAAAATAGCTACTGTCGTTTTTTAATTTTACCTGAGAGTGTTCAGCGCCCTTTTCGCCACCACCCGGCGACGACGTGAAAATGTCTTTGCGTGACTGTCACCAGCATGACAGAAATTATGAGAAAAATCACACCCCTTTTAATAGCCAACTAATCAGAAAGCACAAAACTTGCGTTTAGCTAAGCCCACTCCTGGTACACGTGTTCACGCTGCTGTCAAATGTCACTGTACACAGCATGCTGCGTTCAGGTGTTGGACATTAACAAAACAAATAAACAAAGAAGAGCTTTTGGCAAGTGGCCATTTTTTAGTCATTCACTCAAAGCTGGGTTAGATCCTAATAATTACTACTGAAGTGGGTCTGCTTTACATGGACTATTTCTAAAATTATTGGAGAAATGCATCCATCCATCTTCCCAGTACAATGAGAAATTAATCTGACCTGCTCATAAAACACACAGTGCACCAGAGATACAGTTGTAACCATTTTATTATTTGCACCCCTTGTTTAATGTTTAATGAAAGAACTGTTTAAAAAAAAAAAAAGTAAATCAAACATATGTCATAATTAGGCACATTATGTGCAAAAGAAAATTAGCATAAAATACCACACAACACAGTGGATATTAATTCTGTCTTTGTGACTCACAAAGCATTTACATGAGTCGTGTTAAAGCCTGAGTAAGTACAAGTAGGCTTTTATAAGGACCACATTATTCAGACATGTTAAATCTGGTATTACAGACAACTTAACCAAACCGCGGAAGAGAAATGTAAATTAATATGAGTTCTCCAAGTGTTATGGAAGATTAAACTCTTTCCAGTATTTTAATGTTACTGATGAGCAAAAGTGTCACAGCACTGATTAAGTGCTGCATGAAGCGCTCTCTCAGCTGAATGGTGTTAGGCAGTTACTCCCCTTTCAGCTTGGTATTAATAAATGCTGTCCTCTTTGCCAAGGCGATGGTATCCAGATGGAGGTTTCGCTTGAGAATGGCAGAGCCGCAAGTGAGAGCTCCGGCGAGGGCACCTGCGAAACCGCACAGAAACACATCCTGGCCTGTGAAACAAAGGCATCAAGTGTTATACATGCAAAGTAAATCACAGCACACTGACTGGATGTTTGGATGTTCTAAACACACAGATTCACACACACCTGTCAGATAGAGGTTCTTCAGTGGCGTCTGAGCTCTCACTGTAATGTTCAGCTCAGGGTCGAACCGGCTGATGCTGTGATCTGCGCCATAGATCTCGCCTTTGGGGGCTCCGATGTAGTGTGTGTTTGTGATGGGAGTACCAGCATCAATGTATTCAATCTGCACAAGGAGAAAAAACAAATATATGGCTGCACAGAACTATTTAACTAGGAATTCAAGACTGCTTCCATCCATCTGTCTTCTTCCATTTATCCCATTCTGGGTCACAGCTTGGCTGGAGCCTATTTTCCAGCTGTCATGGGCCAAGAGGTGGACTACAGGTTAGGACAGGTTACTAATCTATTACAGGGCTAACACAGATAGATGATCACCAGTTAACCTAAAATGCATGTCTTCAGTTACTAAAAATCATGCTCTGTTGGGTTGTGACTGATTTGGCTTTTGAAAAATGTCCGATTTCTCTGCCTTGAGAAGCCCTTTGGTTGTTTTTGCAGTATGCTTTGGGTTATTATTAGCAGACACATTATTAATAAAAAGTAGTGATACAGTTCCATACGGCGATAGTGCTGCATCTCTGACAGATAATGTGGTATTATTTGGATCATGAGCTGTTTCTCTCCATACTTTTCTTTTCCCTTGTACAAATGAAAAAGAAAACTATCAGTGAGTGTTTGCCATCTCACTTATAGGTTTATTTTGTTGGGTTTTTTTGGCCTAATGACGACCTCGTTCACTTGTGACCTGATATTAAGAGTTCCAATGAAAAACTACCGAAACAAGTTCACCTTGGAATTAGTTCCAAATCTTTTATCTGCACAATCTGCGACGGAGCAGAAGTCACTTGGTTATTAAACTGCTTGTCAGGCAATTATCTAATTATGTCTGAGCCTCTGAAACAGTTAATGCAAAAACGTTTGCAAAAACCTTTGGCTTAAAGCTGAAAGTCTGCACTTGTTTAACATATTGTTTATTTGAATTCAAATCCGATGTTGTGGTGTAAAGAGGTCCTAATTGTATTAGTCATGAACTGTTTGGCTTCAGAAAGATGTTTTAGCTGTTTTTCAAACCTCCAACTTTATGCAGCCTGAACCATTCCCTCCTTAGATCTGTCACAATACAACACCACTGTCACTCTTTGACAAAACAACAACAATCTGTTTTTGGCTTCACTAATACGGCTCTGCAATGTGACTTCTTAGCCACCCTTGAAACTTTCCCACCATAAACAGGTGGTGTGTACATAAAGTGGGGATATAATCAAACTCGTGAACTACACTCAGCAACAAGTGGTCTTAAAATGGTGATTTTGCTTTGATGGTCAGTTCAAAATGAGCAATTATTAACAAATTGTGCAGCAGAGAATTTTAGATTATAAAAGAATTCTTACACAAACTTCTATTCTTCCCCTTTGGAGAATTGCTCCACCACGATTCATGAGAGATCAGCCACAATAAAAAGAAAGCATGTTCTGCATCACTGAGAGGGTTTGAAGCAATGGAAGACAGATGTTCCTAGAGCTTATTTTTAGGAGCCAAAGGCCATAGCTGTTGAGTGCATTCTTGATTAAGTTATATAAATAAGGTGGTTGCAACCGAAGTTTTGCTTTATATAATACATAAGTGCCAAATTCCATCATTAAACCCATCTACTAGAAGCTACATGGGAAGAGTTTTTACCTTGTCTCTGGTGATCTTGGGGAAAACATCCATTACTACTTCTAGAATGGTGTCAATGAATGCCTGTTTAAGCTCCGTGTAGTCGCGCCCTCTGTTTGTCACCTTGCCATCCTTCCACTCCTCAAACCATTCATATTTGGCAAAAGTGACCAGACTCAAAGTAGACTTCCCTAATGTGAAGAAAAAATGAGACTGTTTTTGAAAAAAATAAAATAAAATAATCTATCGAGTTGAGATTTTGTGATTCTGTACCTGGTGATCTCGCCTCCCAAGTAGGATCTTTAGCTGAGGGAGAGGCGACAAAGAGGAGAGGTACATTTTTTGCTGCCTCTTCTCTGTCTTTCTTCATATAATTCACAGCCCTTAAAAAAAATACAAATAAGAGACTCTTCTGAATTTATACTGACATTAAGGACTGGACCAAAAACTACCTTTAGGCATCTGCAACATCTGCATTCTGAACATTTCTCTCTATCATTCACCATGAAAAATCAGACATTTCTGATACTTTCTTGCTGTGGCAAAAAAAATGTACAGGTAAGATTTTATACTTGTGTATCTCATTATTATGCTGTAATATTCTGATTTGGCTATAAATACCAAAGTCTATATTTGGTCCTAATTGTAAAAGGAATGAAAACAAAAGCTTGACATCATACAGTTCATCGAAATTGTTCTCAGCAAAGATCCAGTAGTTGTCTGCTTTCAGGCCCAGCTCCTCCTTCGTCCCATTCAGACCCATGAAAACGCTCAGACCACCTTCACCATGCTTCAGCATACTCAGCTGCTTCTGGATAGCTGGAAGGCAGCAGAGGCACAGCACACAGTACAGCTTTACAAACAGATCACAGCAATATAAAACTGATGTTAGAAGCATGAGTCATTCCCCTGATTAGAGGGAAAAACAAGTACTGCAACAAGTAGCACTGTGCATCAGCATCAGTACTTATTCTTTAAGGTCTTTGAGTGCTGACATGATTACTCAGTGACTCAATCAGCAAAGGGCGAACAAGGAACTTTGTTATTTACTTATCTCTTAAATTTATCCTCTCAAATGTGAGGGCTGGGTACTTTTCTCCGTTTTATATCATGACACGCTGGTGTTTTAGTTAGGAAAATCCAGGGTTTAGGCTGCAAATCATACAAATAAAGGAACTGTTAGCAAGATGTTTTTTCTATGTTGGGGCTTTCTAATTGATCAGAATAAAGAAAATCCTTAGTTACAGTTACAAGTCTGTTGGAGCCCTGATCAACTTTACCTCCTCAACTGTAACTGGACCCAGGAGCAGACTGAGCCAACTCTGGCAGGAATTTGATCTCATCCCCGGCCACTGTGCTCACACAAGTCCACAGTCTGCTAACCCTATGACCTTTTATCATGCTGTAAGTCTATGTTTTGAAAGCTGTGCCAAAAGTTATGTTAGTTAAGTTATATTTGTAATAAGATATTTATATATATTTTTTTAAATATCACAGTTATTGTCAGTACTGGGTGATAGTAAGACCTCACTATTTGTCGACTATGCTCAGAGGGAAGGTAATCCAGATTAAATTGCAAAAAATCTGAGATGGCTTCTCTTAAAACTGAGCTCCCTCTCTCTCTTGCTCTCTTGGGTAACTTGTCCAATGTTATATGTATAAAAGCAGGTAGACTGCTGAGAAAGAGTGGGGACTGCACATGGGCATCTATCTTTGTTTGTGGTAAACACAGTGTGACACTGTAACTAGAGCAAACAGTTCAGTGGTGAGTGTGATGTGTGGTTTGGGAGGTCTTTCAGTTGACACCTGCTTATTATAATATGACCAGTCAAGCTGACTGTTTATAGGAGTGAGCCTGAAGCTTAGCAAAGACAGTGTCCACTATCTTGCCACTTTCCTGTCAAAAACTTCTTCAATGTTCCTTCAAATAAAGTCCTTTCTTACCTGGCATGGTCTGGAGGTCTTTAGGAATCAGCTTCTGGTATGTGTTGAAAATGCCAGCATCAGAGATGATCAGAGGAGCATGGATGTGTACTTCCTCCTGACCTTTCATTACGCTGACACCTGAAACCATAAAACACAAACACAGTGAATCACCTCCTCTGTGGGATGTTGAGCTAACTGTGTGTAGAGAAACTGAGGACCCACCACAAGCTTCCTTGGCATCATTGAATAAGATGCGATTGACTGGAGCTCGAACCAGAACAGCGCCCCCTGCCTTTTCAATGATGGGGATCATATGGTAGGCGATCTCACTAGCTCCGCCTTTAGGGTACCAGGCGCCATTCAGGTAGTGGGTGACTAGCAAACTGTGCATGGCAAAGCTGGCATCTTTGGGAATTTTACCTGCAGATCAGAGATGGAAACCAACAGTGAGAGCAGCATAGCGAAGAACTGATCTGATTACACCACTAAAACCATAGCTGGTTCTCACCATAGGTGCCAAAGATGTAGCTGAAGACAGCCCTGAGGTCCTTGTTCTCTGTCAGCTCGTTGACCACATCTGTAAGGCTGCGGGGAGCCATCTTGAAGAAGAAAGACAGATGCCTGACTAGGCCGGTGTGAACCAGGAACTTAGCCAGCGGGAGAGGGAGAATCTTCAGAAGAGCGAGGAACCAAACTCCGTTTCCAGTTTTCTGAACATGAAACACACAGTGGAAAAAAGTGTAAGCAAAGTAGTCTTGTCTCCTGTGATTACAAATTACATACATTTAGTGATAATTAAATATTTTTAAATTATCACTAAATTTACATAATATTCATACTCATTACATATCATGTGGCAACAGCAAGGAAATATATTCCTGGCTATACTTCTACAGCAGAATGGACAAATGTAAGAAGTATGTTTGTGAAACAGATGGGTGGTGCCATAAGGCCATAAAAACTTGGCCATAAGGTGCCATGAGGCCAGTCCAAGTGCACCTTTCCTTATTACTCCATAAAATGTTATGATAAATTAATAATGTATTGTTATTGCTATCAATATTTGATATGCTCTAATTTCCCAAAAATGGATCACTTTGTTTTGTGGAGTAAAATAGACCAAAAGTACTGCAAAAATGATCAGTTTTACAATATTGAGCTGTATCTGTTGGGAGAAGTTAGTTAACTCTAACACGGTTCCAAGAAAGATAAAGAGTCTCTTAGAAAAATCCCTTGTGAGAGAAACTATTATTATACGTTTCAAAAGATCTGAACCAGAGACACAAAGACTGTTTGCATAACTTAAAGCGATTGAGAAGAAGAAGGTTAATTAAAAAGTGTGCCCTCCAAAAGCACCAAGGAAAAACTGCTCCTGTATTTGCATGCCGAAGGGCAAACTTTGGCGCAACTCAGTCTGAGTGAAGTTGTGTAATGTTGCAGCTAAAAAAAAAAAAAAAAAGATGCTGCCTCATGAATCTGACCTTTGAGTTATCAGCTGATTATCTGTGCAACATCCACAGATGTTGGCTAATAAAAGTGCATAAACACATAGTTCCCAGGAGGAAAGGTCTTCACATGCTGGAATAACGAATAAAGGTCCACCCAATAAAATATGAGCCTACTTATTACTCAAAAAATACGTTTGCAATGCTAATAAAAGTCACTAAGTTGCAGATGCACAAACTAAACTGTGATTCTACCTTGGCCAGCTTCATGAACTCGTCAATAGCCTTTTCCTCTCCTGGGAAACACTTCTTCAGTTCATCTGTGAAGCGAGTCCTGCCACTGTAGATGGGGTACTGGCGGCGGTTTTCTGGAGGTCCCAGCACAACGTGATCGAATGGGTTCTCCAGGGGTTCCCACTCCAGCTGTCCATTGGTCATCTGATCCAGCATGCATCGAAACGGCTTGTGGTCCAACAGTTCGCCAATGTAGTGGATTCCTGTGGGATGATTGTGTAGATCACAGAGAGGAGACTTCAGAGCCCTTAATCGAGATCGAAAAGTATTCACCGAACCAAAGATCATCATTACAAAAACTGTCAAATCTTCTCTCCTCTTTAAAAAATACATATATTTTAATTTTAGGGAATAATAAGGTAACACGAGTCACTGATCTCACCAACATCAAATTCAAAGCCCTTCTCAGTGAACGTGTGGCAGCATCCTCCGGCCCGGCTGTGCTGCTCCAGAACCAAAACCCTTTTTCCAACTTTTGCAAGCAGCACGGCAAGTCCGAGCCCACCAACCCCACTGCCGATGACGATGGCATCCAGATTCTCCGGTACTCTATTGGCCACAAAACCTAAAGAAGTGGAAACAAACCATTCAATCACCAGCATGGTTTTAGTATAACAGTAATAAATTGGAGAATCCTAGTCATGCACTACCAATAAGAATCATTTTAAAACATAATTGGTGTCAGATTCACAAAAACTCCAGATATTCTGTTTTGCTCACTTTCATACCATGGTGTATTCAGGCTACTATATAACTACAATTTCTCAAACCAAATAAAATGGGAAGCTTAATGGGGTAAAAAAAAAAAAAAAAAAAAATCAGCAGACTGGGTATATTTATAGGATTCTAACCTTGAGGGGTAAAAAACTATTTTTTGTGACTTATTTATTAGTTTATAGTATGACATTTACACATTTTTGTAGTACTTTTTTTCCTCATATTTTTTCCCAATGTAATAACATAAAATATCCAAGTAATGTTTATTGTAAATTTGTAGACTGTGATCTCCAGTTTTTGTCCAGATTTCCTTCTTCCTTTTTTTATTTGTGCAGAGATTATCTGAGATTTTTAGGCTGCTCCCTTTTTTTTTGCAGTCTTGGTTTGGCAAAAGTACCAAAGGAATCTTGCACTTTTATAAACTTTGCAACGTCCATTCCAAACCCACAGATCTCATCTTATATCTATTTATATATGTTTATATGAGGAGTGCATGAAATTAGCACAATTTACAACAACTTCCAGTTTCAGTTCTGGCTAAGCATCTGTCTGCTGACTTATAAACATCCACAAACAAATATAAATAAGAATGAGTCAAATAGTTGACTTGAATAGTTCAAATGCAAAGGCTGACACTTGACCTGCATAACTCCGCGTGTAATGGACCTTTCACTCACCTTGCTTCAGCACTTTATTTTTCTCTTTCTTGTCGTAAACTCTCTTCTTTAGCGGTTCACGAGTGTCCTTCTCAAAGGGATCAGGCCCGCGGCCGCCGAAGACATAATGTAATAAAAATATGACAATCGCCGCACAAATAATGCTCACAGCGATCATTATTGCGCCCCTTCCCAAGCCACTCGGCACAGTCACGGCGTTCACTTCCTCATTGGGTTCCATCAAAAACCAGAGCCTTTACTTAACAGCTCGGATCAGTACCGCCCACATAACTGACAGTTGGCGAAACTGCCCAATCAGAATCTCCCTTTTGGGACGCGTTATTATATTTCGACCAATTATCGTCAAGTTCAACGTGACAGCTTCCTTTGGTGTTTATTATGTTTTTAAGTTGAAATTTACTGTGTCCTAATGAATTTATTACGTTTTTATTGCTGCTGCTTTTATCGTCCTTGTGTTTTGCTGCTGCTTTATTCACATAAAGCAGTGTTCATCTTATTTGTAAAAGTTCCATGGCCAAAGCATAAAATTTGTCTTTTCAGCAGGGTAGTGTACATGATCCACAACATCTCTTTGCAGTGTTTTACTTGTGTTAAACCACTGATTAAATTAACTATTAAAAAAACAAAAAAACAAAACAAAAACAAACTGTTTTCTCAAGGCGCTTTACATTGTAAGGTAAGGACCTTACAATAATGCTAATAAATTATCTTACAATTGGGCTGTCTCTGCGTAATAAGGTTTTAAAAAGTTGCCTAGAAGGTAAACACCTTCCACCTTTGCAGTTACAGAATTCCTCGCTCCGGCTTAGCTTAGACATTTTATTAAATGTTTAAAAAACACTTATTTGCCGAGGAACATTGTGTGATGTTTCAAAGCTTCTTAAAACCCTCATTTGTGTATTTGGGGAGGAAATTATTTAAGTACAGCTATATTTAACACCCATTTAATCAGACTTTACCAAAACCTCACAGTTAGCTCTACACCAGGGGTAGGCAACCTTTCTGATGACAAGTGCCATTTAAAATTTCCTCAGAGGTCAATGTGCCATATGATTGCATTAGCAATAAATTTAATAACGCTCTATATGAACAGTTACACAATATATAGAACCACTTTATAGAATATTTGTTCACAGATGTTGGCAGCTATCAGCGAATAGTTATCAGCTGTTTTGAAACAAAAAAAAAAAGACACTTTTTATCCATAACAAGAACTCCACAATAGCAAATGAACTGTACAACAGAAAATACAAACGCTATTTATGGTCTCCTCACAACAATGATAAGAGAAATAAACTGGGCCAATATGGCATGTTTGTTAATATTCAACCCAACCCTTCAACTCATTCATGTCACCTAAAAGGTAAACTTGTTTCTCCATCCAGTAAGGACATCTCCTGGTTTCATCTTCATGTTTCCCTCTCACCAGATATCCAAACCGATATCATGACCAGCAGGTTTACAGCTGTGGCTCCAGCAAACATCAGCTACTAGAAAGAAATATTAAATAAATTCTAACAACAGCTGATCAAGCTTAAACGTGCTGCTGTTGTTTAGCGCGACATCCGGCGGTTTCCTCTTTCTGGCGCAAAGTGGGCGATAAACAAACAAGAGAGAAAAGCTTATGATTGATCAGTTTCATGATTGAAGCAGCAACAGGGGAGAGAAGAGGCAGCTGTGCAGAGTAACAGAATAAATCCACCTTTGTGCCTTTTTCCATTCTAGCTGAAGTCCGGGACAAACTGCGTCCCTTCTCAGCTCAACACCAAACGCCTAATATTTTCTCTGAATGCGGGACGATTCCATCTTTGTATGGGATGGTTGGCAACTCTACTAAGCTTGTGAATTAAAGTTCACTATCAGTAACATCATAGCACCCACCCAGCTGTATAGCTAGCACGCAGTACGAGTTATTGTAACTGTCTGTAAAAAGTCAGCACAACGAAAATAAACTACACCTAAACTTGGTTCATATCTGACCCAGACAGACTGCAGGTCATAACTTCTTACCTGAAGTTCAGTTCACCTGACACTCGGACCGGCGGCCGCCTCGGGTCTCTCCTTCTCCTGCCTCCCCTTTCTCTCATCCACCTGCTGGCCTCCACCACTTAATGAATCTGTGGAGGCTCCGCATTGCCACCACCAAACAAATGAGTTAGTTGTTTTTTTTTTGTTTTTTTTACACACCGACCAGCATCTGACCAATCCACCAATTTCATTGTTTATACCGTTACCAAAAAAAAAAAAAAAAAAAAAAAAAAAATCCATCAAGTCACGGTATGCCCGGTGGCCAGTCCAGCTATGGTCTTGCCATCACTTAACCCTTCGCATGCCAACTGTGGCACGCGTGCCCAGGGTTGCCGACCCCTGCTCTACACCCTTCCAACCCTAAAAGAAACATCTACATATTTTCATGCATTTCCTGCACCATTCATTTTTTATTCTTTTTTCTTTTTTACATCCGTTTGCAAATAGAACCAACATTTTACAAAATATTTTAACTGGGGCATTTCCCCAGTTATCATCCATCCACGCTGCAGGTCTTGCAAGTCCAGACTGCTGTTCACAGGTCCAATTCCAACACCCACCTACTCCACCTAATGGCATGGTCAGTGTAAGCTAAATATGATGTGTGAGGTGCAAAATTTTATGATTGTTAATAATATTGTGGACTTGTAGCAGGGAAAAGTACCTTATCAGTGATGTCAGCTCATCAAATATGTAAACTTGTCTCCAACTGTTTATGGTCTATTACAGTTTGCAACATTTATACATCAAGTTTTTGACTCTTTAAGACATCCTGTGTGGTTCCCTCAAGCAAAATCTGCATACTGAGCTTAAAAAAACCCTTGCCCTTAAGACTTGTATACAGTGAGAGCCAAATCGAAGGACTTCTTAAGGTGGATTTTGCAACTGGAGCCCTGTGAACTTAAGGTGTCCTTATAAATTGTATCCCTGCTTATAAATGTTGATCAGAATGCCTTAAACCTCTCCATTGCAGTCTAACCACGTAGAAAATGATTGACTTTTTTGTCTGAACTGTTAATCAGTCTGTGTAACTGGGTTCTAGTTAGTGCAGCAAGCTGTGGCGAAGAAAGTTAATGACAAGAAACTCCAGAAAATAAATGCCTTCTCTGGAATTCATCTTCAAGCTTTGCTCAAATGCCTCCATTACTGCCAGAACCGACTCTGATGAGCAAAATACAAACGACAAAAAACGGTTGACAAGGAAACTCTAAAACAGAAGCCCTTATTCTTGTGTACACTTTTGGTATTTATTATCTCACCTTTTCAGCCGTTTTCTCTTTAAAATAATTTTGATCCTTTTGATTTTCATCTCTAAAACTTAAGGATGACAGAATTATTGTAGTTGCAAAAAGCACTTCCAACAAACAGTAGGCTCTAGTCTGTATGCGTTAGGGTGTAATTCGCAGTTATGTTTGACATTATTTACACATACGGTATGCTTTGTCACCAATAATGAGCGTTTGGTATCCAGTAACCTGTGCAAACTGTTCTTGTGAGTGTGTGTATGGTACAATCAAGACAGCTTTCAGATGTACAGTTGTTTGGGATGGTAACTACAATGGCTTAAGGTCCATGTGATCGAGGAAGGAGGGAAGAGCTGAAGACTCCCCCCTGCCTCCCTGCCTGGCAGCGGTAGTGCAGGTCAAAGTTCAAAAGGTCAAAAAGTAAAAATGGGCGGTGGGTTTCCATTCTTAAAGTAGGAGGTCATCAGTTCATCTGTCAGGTGGCCAGTGCGATTGTGCCACCTCCTCACCTGATGGTGCCACTTGCTTTCTGCATTAGAAGGGATGTCACTGCAAAACCAATCCCACCTGGAAAAGAAGCAACTGAGCCGTTATGAAAACAGTCACAAATGTAGCTTGGGTTTGTGCAGGAGTCACTATGGCACATGTAAGGCATCTGTAGTAGTACTGCATGAGACTGGATGAAAATGTAACAGAAAAGCTAGATGCATGACAAAGACATGAACAATTAGCCTTTAAAAAAATTAAATAAAATACATGATGCCACAAACAAAACTGCAATACAAGTGTGAATCCAACTGCAGTGACAGGTTAAACAGTCTCTTGCATGAACAACCATAAAAAGCAAATACTTATGTGAGCAGCACAATGATACTAGAGATGGCACGATACCACTTTTTTATGTCCGATACCGATACCGATATCATAAATTTGGATATCTGCCGATACCGATATGAATCCGATATAGTGTTTTTTAATCAACAAAACTGTTTTTTAAATATCTTGCTGCATTTTGTATGAGTTCATACTCAAGTTTAAAACAACAACTACACTAAAGCTATTCTGTTATACCTATATGCAAAAAAAATATTTCATAGTTCAGCAATACTGATCAATCTAATAAACTCAAACCTACACCATCCTCCCTATTCTGGTATTTTAAAGAGTACTTAGCATAAATATTAAGCAACCTAACTAATAGGGTTCCAACTCCCAGCAACAACAAAAATAAATAAATAAAAAATAGGGAACCACCCCTCACGCTCCACCTCATGATGCTTAATCAACGTAATCAACATTAATTTGATGCAGTGTGAAAAAAAATGCACAGAAATCAATTATTTTTCAAGAAATATTAAATAGATTCAACATCTTTCTTCAACAAAATTGCAGACTGCACAGATGGTACCTTCCCAAAGGAAAAAGTACTATAGCTTACTAGGGTATATATATTAGACTTAATAGTCACTATATACACTAATTGACTTCTATTCATTTTACATCAAATTAAAACTTTGGGTGTAAGATTCGGATAATTATTTATTAAAAGCTAGACATTTTAAATGAGAATAAGAAAGAAAAGTATGTCTTTGTGCCCTCTTTTCCCTGTTAATGCCCTATCGGCCCCCCTGGCTAAACTTTGCTAGATCCGCCACTGCACAGTTACCAGCCGTCAGCTACGTAGAAAAAGATCCTCGAGTAGAAATTAATATTAAATACATTCTAACAACAGCTGATCAAGCTTAAACGTGCTGCTGTTGTTTATCCGCTGGTTTCCTCTTTCTGGTGCGAAGTGGGCCAAAAACAAACCAGAGAGACGGACTCGCGACAGAAAAGCCGATCAGCTGATCATTAAGCAGTTTCATGATTGAAGTAGCAGCCGGAGAGTGAGAGGCAGTCGCTCGTTAAGCTTAACGCAGGAATGCTTTACAAACATTCAGAGATGGACTTACACACTTGCTTTA